TGTATTCAAAAAGCATTACATGCGGAATGTATGTCTCGTCGTGTGTCATCACTATAAGGGATTAGAGTATACTAAACTTTACACATTATATAGGCTACACTAACGTGAAGTTTTTGGGGATGGTTAATGAAAGTGTTCTAAAACGCGAAATTAATTTCTTGGCGACCTAACACTATACTATTCTTTCCATAGCTATTTGTATTGTTAGTTACATTAGTTGGTAAACTGACCAACAAATAACATTGCTAATCTGGTTCTGGTTACTTATATTGTTGGTGAAATTAGTTATTAAACTGACCAACAGTTAACACCACCAATCAATTTCATGGTTACTTGTATTGTTGACCAACATTAGTTGGTAAACTGACCAATAGTCAACACTACTAATCTGGTTCTGGTTACTTATATTGTTGATCACATTCGTTGGTAAACTGACCAACAGTTAATTCTACTAATCTGATTTGGGTTACATATATTGCTGTTTGTATTAGAATACAATGTGACTGATATTTGCCTATGTACCGTGGCCAATGTTTCGTTTAAAAACAAAACACTATTAGAAGAAACATTCTGATTTTAACATATATGCTTAAAAAACGTCAAAAGTTGCTAGCATCTTTCAACTGCAAATCCCAATGAAATTAATGCTACACTTAAAAACATCAAAACTTACTTTATGATATGTCAGTTGCAAATCTCACTGAAGTAAATGCTGCACTTAAAAACATCAAAGCTGTTAGTATCTGTCTGTTTGTTGTTAAGCGCAAAGCTAGCTACACAATGAACTATCTGTACTGTGCCTATCACAGGTATCGAAACCCGGTTTTTAGCGCTATAAGCTTTCAGACTAACCGTTGAGCCACTGGGGGCAAGCATCTGTGAGTTGAAAAGCCTGTTGGAATTAATACTACACTTAACAATGTCAAAAGTTGTTAGCTTATATCAATTGCATAATCAACTGAAATTATGTTAAGTTACTAAAATCAAATTAACCAGTCCTAAAATCCAGTTTTCATGGAGATTAATGAAGTTAAGTGAAAGTAACTAATAAAAAGGCTACAAAAATAATTGTTTTCTCAAGAAACATCATAGTTTTATAAAGTAAAACAATTCATTTTGAAATAATTAAAGTAATTTGTGTTTGCAAACTTGAATATTTGTTAGTTAAAAATATGGCTCTTAAAAAGCTAAAAAGTAAACCTCCAAAATGTTTTTGTATTGATACGGGCCTATCAATTTAAAATCATATTTACGTTGCGGGATTCCAAAGTTGCTGTTTAAATTGAATATTGAGCTACTTTTAGATAAACTTGAGAAGGACTTTATACGTATGTATACACTTATATGATTCAAGGGATCACAAGTCACAATTGTTTCAAATCTCAGAGCCCCGTCCTGGCAACGTGCCAGCCTAAGCTTGTATTTGTTGTACAGGTACAAGCTAAAAGTTTCGCGATTTCTCATTGGTTCATTTGAGGCAATGTTTTGAAAGCGGGAATCGGCTACAGCTAACGTCAGCAGTGACGTAATATATTCAGGTCACTCGCGTTGCTTAGTCTCTATTTCTTCTCCCCACGCCATTTCCTCCCCATTTGCAGGCTGAGAGGAAGTTTCAAGTATTCATAGTTCAGTGTGAGTTTACCAGTGTTTCAGCTAGGCGAAAGAAATGTTCGCCATATTTTGATTACAGTGTTAAGTGTGCTCCTTCCGAAGTCGCGGCTGCCGGACACTTGTTTTACGACAACGAACTGTAGGCTATAGCCAGTTGCTGATGGCATGGGTTTAGATGTCCAGTCCAACTGTTGCTTTAATTTGTACAAGGTGAAGTTTTTTTTTTTACTCGATTTTAACTTATTTAAAAGAGTAAGCTAAATTTGATAGACTAGCATTTTGGTCAAAAATTATATTAACGATAGTATAAGTAGTACAACTATTAATTTCATTCAACCTGAGATACTGGGACTTTTTTAAATTCCAGTTTTTGCGAAAACTAATTTAAAATTAAAGTGCGGCGTTAACTGAGACTGAACTACGTATAATATTTTAATGGTAATTTATTTTTGTCCTCGCACTGGAATATGTTTTAATCTTTCCAAAAGTATTAAACACTGATAATTTCAAACAATTATCAACATTAACCTTTTATTGTTAAAACATGTATTACCAGTACTGATTTATTGGGATAATTTCTGAAAGTAAAATACAGCAATTAGTAAATACTCTGTAAATAATGGTTGATACTGTGGTAGAGTTAAGTGTTAAACTTAAATACATGCAATATTGTTAGTGTTACTGAGGTTAAAAATAGAAGTGCTAGCTTGTTTTTTGACAAGCATAAAATTTATTTTAAAACATGTCTAACATTTAGTAACGTTATTTGCATATCTGGCTCTCCCTCGTCAGTATCTTTGAGTAATGTTATCAGAGAAATTACAGTGCATGGTATATAATTAATAAATAGGGTTTATTAAACACTTTCGGTAGAAGAATAAGCGAGAACAAATACCCGTGAGCAGTGTTGTAGAAATCAGCTATACAGTACGTATAATATAGAATGCTTTCACTTTAGTTATTAAACATTTGAAAACCGTTATTAATAGAGTAAAATATGGTGTTATTAATGAAGTACCAGATTATTAACAAAGTATTTTACTATTTAGCCCTTTCTTATCTATTTAAATAGCCCACTCGTTTTACAATTATTTGCAAACTTAAATATTATTTGAATCTTCACACATTCTTTATTGAAAAACATATTTTCGAAATGTCAAAGATGGTGGTAGTAGTATTATGCATCTTTTTGTGCAATAGATGGCGACACTATATAATGTGAGCGTTGTAGGTATGCTGGTGCAACATTTGAAATGTATTTTATTGATACTTTATTAAAAACCAAAGTAAATGTTTTATCGTAAAATTTACAAGAGCTAATTCATCAAAAACTCACTTATGACAAAATAAAAATTGATTCACACTCTTCGAACAAAGATACATTGAGCTATCTGCTGTGTCCATCTCGGGGAATCGAATCCTCGATTTTAGTTTTGTAAGTCAGTAGACATACCGCTGTTTCGATTTTTAATGTATTGCAAAACTAAAACTATAAAAGTTAATTTTTTTTATTTGCCGATTGTTAAAACTCTTATTTTTATAGTGCAGTTTAATGTAAAACACGTGAACTGACAAAACAAAGAGCTGTTATATGTAACAGAAATGAATCAAATTACATTTAACAGCAAATATTTTTTCTCTTTACGGACTTATAACTCATGATATAAGTTCTACACTAACACCCCTCTGACTCGAAATGCATAAAGGCAAATCTAGAGGACTATGAACGATACAAACACAGTCAAACGTGATTTTACTGGTTTTTTGGCCCAACATGCCCTCTTTCATCGATAGCTAATGTTTATTCACCATTTTATTAATAGGTAGCATTCATGACAGACTTTTGGCTACCATAAATCCAGCTCAGCCATTGAGTTTTGATGATTGTGAAGAAACATTATTTTTATATATATCGTTTTAGTACCGTCATGTTTCTTTATTGAAGCTCATTACTTTGGTAAAAACGAACACAATTTAATAATATTGTTTACATAAAAGGTAACTGTATCACTCGAATTTCGTGTGTGTTTTATAACATTTCAAAAATTATAGATACAGCAATTTTCAGATATAAGTGTGATTGTGTAAAATATTAGATTTGCTGGAACTAGCACTTTTCAAAGAATAACAGTTATTTTTCTACTAATCTGGGTAAAGATTGGTTTCATTTGTACCTAGTAAATAGCAGCTTTATAATAAATACATTATCATGTGACATGATGTTGGTAACTTTTATGTTCGTGCAAAGGTTACTTTTAGACTTTTTGCTAACCGACATTTTTTTGAGTAATATTATCAGAGAAATTACAGCGGTGAAAAAATTTATTATTTCACACAAATTTTTCACACTTTTCTTTGGAATCATCGTCTAATTTGATATATTAATGCATTTAGGTGGGAATGTATTTCATGGATGATGCAATACTGTCTGATGATTACATGATAAGCTTTACAAACTGGGTATTGCATCAGCTGTTTTTTGGGTATGAATAGAGGTTCTTACTGAGAGACAGTTTATCTACTACAACGTGCACCTGATGCTACCATGGCCAATAGTTGTGAGTTAACTCCACAGAAAAAAGCAGTCATTGTTTCTTTGAGCAAAGAAAGTTTTTCGACGTGGCATACTGATAGAAGAATTAAATTGAATCAGTCTACTGTAAGCTGCTGGATGTGAAGGTGTAGGAAGAAAGCTTCCACAACAGCTGACGATTGTGTTCTGAAATGCATGAGCCTGCAGAATCATCGACTGTCGTCCACATATCTCAAAAGAGTATAACAGGAAACTTCAGGGATTACTGTCATCGCGCGTTTCATCTGTGTTCAGCCAGTTTCTTAGAAAGATGGCCAAAAAGGAAACCAATCCTAACAAATAAGATGAGGTTCAACTGAGCCAAAGAGCATGTGGAGGAAAATGATATTTTTACGTGAATCAAGGGTCAACCTGCATGGATCGATGGGAAGTTTCATACAACGTGTTTGAATGTAACTGTGAAGCATCCACAGGATTAGGTGATATGGGGATTCATTTTTCTGTCCAGAGTGTGGGACGTCTGCATTTTGTGAAAGACACTGTCAATGCCGACAAGTACATCGAGACCTCAAGTCCCGGTTAAAGCCAACAATTCTGAGTCACTTTGGTAGAGCTGACCACCACACATTCCAGAATAACTTCGCTTCATGCCACAGGGCTAAAAAGGTTGGTAATAGTCATGTACTGTATGCTGTAGACATGAAGTAAAGAGGAAATTTCACTCCACGTGCATTGAAAAGCCATCTTAGGTTTTATTTCATTGCTTCATATGAAGGACTATCTGCGCTCGCCAGGCAACAGCCCAGATCTCCATCCTATCGAAAACTGCTGGAAGGTAATGGGTAACAAAGTGCAAGAGAAGAAACCGAGAAGCATCTTGGAACTGCAGGAAGTCCTAATCTGCGTGTTGCATCATGAACTCACTCCTGCCTACATTCAGTCCCTCGTGCACTCTATGCCACAGCGATATCAAGTAGTTATCAAGGCTAAAGGGGCACAACCAAATAGTAAAACAAGAAGCAGACTTTGGGACCACATTTAGCCAATTACATTAGTAGCGTTAAATCTAGGTTTTCTTACTCAACGAACATTTTATCATCTGCAGTAATAACTTGTCACGGTTCGTTTGTTGATAAAGATGCATATAGGTGTTTGGATGACTGAAATATGAGTCAATGTCCATAACCGTTTTACACAAGTTCAGTCACTTCCACAATGCATAATCTCGTAAAAGAAAAGTGTCTCCGCTCATAACTTATGAGGAACTGAATGTCCTGCGTGGTTAAAATAACCGAGACTCTGTGCCAGTACGGTCACGAGATAAAGAAATAACTTCAATGAGTAACCATATCAGATCCTCAACCATACATATACGTAATACGTATGAAATAAAAGGATTATCACAGTAGTAACAAACTTCGCTGTTCTCAAACTATTGATCTAAATTGGGTGAAGAAGTAGCGTGCGTAAACGTGTAGAGAGAAACAGGCATAAAAACCTGATCCTATTTATAATGTGTACATATTCATACAAATAAGTTTTATATAAAAACTTGATTATTATTACAGTTGAACACTGTAAGTACTAATTACGGATGGTGTTCCTAATAGTTCGGGCAAATTATTGAATATTTACATTTCAATACGTGTGTCATAGTAGCTGGTATATGTTTATAGTGGTCTCTTCTCGGTCGTCTTGTATCTCCATACACAAGAGTTGGGCAATGCATATAATACAATGAATAAAGCAACGGATGCTGTTGGTTATATTTAGTTTCTGAGTATACGTATTAATGGTACATGTAATGAAATACATACAGATATTTGATTTATTGTTTTTCTATACTATTATTTTTTACGAGACTTTGGCCTAATTCCGGCATATTAAGCTTATTCGCGGCAACTCGAACCTTGTAAAGTTACAGTTCAGATATTTTCTTAATAATCTTACCACTAGGTGGCGATTGTGTATTTTACGTTTTGTTCAACACAGAAAATTAGTAAAATGTCATAAAAAATTAGTTATCAAGCAATACAATAGTATGTTTATAACTATAAGGCCGATAACATGAAAGTAGACTACTACTATTGTGCCTGTCTCCCCCACGTTAATTTCTGTCGAAGTGTTACAGCTTTATTCAAATGCCTGTTTTTTTTTTCAACCGATCTGAATATACTATTGCAGGTGTGGCTATAGCAGTTATGTATTTGTGTGTGTTTTTACATATCTGTGTAACAGAAAAAAATGCTTGAGAGGTATATGTACATAGGTAGATATATAAACAGTGTGTTGTTTGGAAACTGGAAGCGTTATATGTTAATATATTTTTTATATATAATATGTTTGTTAGGTAGAGGACTCATAACGTTAGTATCAAGTAAATTTGTTAGAGTAGGCCTAGAATATTCTAATTTAATATAAGAAAAGGTAAGAGTTCCATATGGCACCCCCCACTCAATTAAAAAAAATCATCTAAGTAATATTTATGTATTAATAAATCATATTAATAGTATGATCTGATAATTTTAATACATTATTATACCACTTCATTAATTAGATGTACAATCTTCTTGGGGATAAACTTTACAAAGTCTTGTATAAAGGCATCAAAAAGTTTGGAACATTTTTTTTTTCTTTTGGTAAACCCCAAAAAGCCATGCCTCAATTTTTCTAGTAC